GGAGAGGGTGCAGAATATTCTCAAAGGGGAGAGGGGCCAGCAGGAGGGTGTTGTACACGTTGGAACGAATGACAAAGGAAGAGAAAAGGATGAGATTCTGAGGAGAGAATATTTGAAGTTAGGCAGGAATTTAAAAGGAGGTCCTCGAGGGGAGTAATATCTGAATTACTCCCAGTGCCACGAGCTGGTGAGGGTAGGAATAGGAGGATAGAGCAGATGAATGCATGGCTGAGGAGCTGGTGCAGGGGAGAAGGAATCACATTTTTGGATCATTGGAATCTCCTGAATGTTCCCGTTAGGGTGAAGGGCAAGGCTGGTAGGTGTAGGGAATGCTGGATGACGAGAGAAATTGAAGTTTTGATCAAGAATAAGAAGGAAACATATGTCAGGTATAGACAGCAAAGGTCAAGTGAATCCCTAGAAGAGTATAAAAGCAGTAGGAGTATACTTAAGGGGGAAATCAGGAGGGCAAAAAGGGTACATGAGATAGTTTTGGTAAATAGGGTTAAGGAGAATCCAAAGGGATTCTATAAATACATTAAGGACAAAAGAGTAACTCGGGAGAGAATAGGGCCCCTTAAAGATCGGCGAGGCTGCCTATGTGTGGAGCTGCAGGAGATGGGGGAGATACAAAACAAGTATTCTGCATCCGTGTTTACTGTGGAAGTGGATATGGAAGATAGAGAACATGGGGAAATAAATAGCGACATCTTGAAAAATGTCCATATTACAGAGGAGAAGGTGCTGGATAGCTTAAAACGCACAAAGGTGGATAAGTCCCCAGGACCTGATCAGGTGCACCCTATAAGAACATAGAACATAGAATAGCACAGCACAGTACAGGCCCTTCAGCCCACGATGTTGTGCTGAACTTTTACCCTAATCCTAAGGTCTATCTAACTTCCACCCCTACCTTATACTATCATCCATATGCCTATCTAATAGCCGCTTAAATGCCCCTAATGAGGTTGACTCCACTACCCTCTCCGGCAATGCATTCCACGCCCCGACCACCCTCTGAGTAAAGAACCTACCTCTGACATCTCCCCTATATCCACCTCCACTCACTTTAAAACTATGCCCCCTCGTAATTGCTACCTCCACCCTAGGAAAAAGTCTCTGGCTGTCCACTCTATCTATACCTCTGATCATCTTGTACACCTATAACTCTGTCGGAGGTGCCAGAAGACTGGAGGTTGGCTAATGTGGTGCCACTATTTGAGAAAGTTGGTAAGACAGGGAACTGTAGATTGGTGAGCCTGACATCCATGGTGGGTAAGTTTTTGGAGAGAAAGCTGAGGGACAGGATTTACATGTATTTGGAAAGGCAAGGACTGATTGGGGATAGTCAACATTGGAAATCATGTCTCACTAACTTGATTGAACGTTTTTGAAGAAGTATTGAAGAGGATTGATGAGGGCAGAGCAGTGAACATGATCTATATTGACTTCAGTAAGGCATTCGACAAGATTCCTCTTGGTAGACTGGTTAGCAAGGTTAGATCTCATGGAATACAGGGAGAGCTAACCATGTGGATACAGAACTGGCTTGAAGTTAGAAGACAGAGGGTGTTGGTGGACGGTTGCTTTTCAGACGGGAGGCCTGTAACCAGTGATGTGCCACAAGGATCGGTGCTGGGTCCACTGCTTTTTATCATTTATATAAATGATGTGGATGTGAACATAGGAGGCATGGTTAGTAAGTTTGCAGATGTCACCAAAATTAGAGACGTAATGGACAGCAAAGTAGAAGGTTACTTCAGGGTACAACAGGAACTTGATCAGATGGGCCAATGGGTTGAAGAGTGGCAAATGCAGTTTAATTTAGATAAAGCTCAGGTGCTGCATTTTGGACAGGCAAATCAGGGCAGGACATACATGCTTAATGGTAAGGTCCTAGGGCGTGTTGCTGAACAGACAGACCTTGGGGTGCAGGTTCATAGTTCTTTGAAAGTACAGTCACAGGTAGATAGGATAGTGAAGAAGGCATTTGGTACGCTTGCCGTTATTGATCAGTGCATTGAGTATAGGAGTTGTGAGGTCATGTTGCAGCTGTACAGGTATTGGTTAGGCCACTTTTGGAATACTGCACTCAATTCTGGTCTCCTGGGTATAGGAAGGATGTTGTGAAACTTGAAAGGGTACAGAAAAGATTTACGAGGATGTAGCCAGAGTTGGAGGGTTTGAGCTGTAGGGAGAGGGTGAATAGGCTGGAGTTATTTTCCCTGGAGCATTGGAGACTGAGCGGTGACCATATAGAGGTTTATAAATCATGAGGGGAATGGATAGGGTAAATAGCCAAGGTCTTTTCCCCAGGATGGGGGAGTCCAAAACTAAGATGTATCTAGACAGATACATGAATGGAGCAGGGAGCAGAGGGATACAGATCCTTGGAAAATGGGCGACAGGTTTAGATACAGGATCTGGATTGGTGCAGGCTTGGAGGGCTGAAGGGCCTGTTCCTGTGCTGTAATTTTCTTCATTCTTTGTTCTTTTTTCTAGAGGGAATAGGTTAAGGATGGAATTGCAGGGTTTTGAACCAGTGATAAAGGAACGACAATGTATTTCCAACTCAGGATGGTGAGTGGCTTTGTGGGGAACTTGCAGGGGGTGGTGCTTTCATGTATCTGCTGCCCTTGTCCTTCTAGACGGAAGTGGTCGTGTGTTTAAAAGGTGCTGCCTGAGGATCTTTGGTGAATTTCTGCAGTGCATCTTGTAGATGGAACAAAAAACAGAAGTTGCTGGAAAACTCAGCAGGTCTGGCAGTAACTGTGAAGAAAAATCAGAGTTAACTTTTTGGGTCTGGTGACCCTTCCCCAGTTCTAAGGAAGGGTCACTGGGCCCAAAACGTTAATTCTGATTTTTCTTCAGCGTTGCTGCCAGACCTGCTGAGCTTTTCCAGCAACTTCTGTTTTTGTTTCTGATTTCCAGCATCTGCAGTTCTTTCGGTTTTTTGTAGATAGTACACACTGCTGCTACTAATCATCGGTGGCGGAGGGAGGGAATGTTTGTGGATGTGGTGCCAATCAAGTGGGCAGCTTTGACTGGATGGTGTTGAACATCTTGAATGTTGTCGGGGCTGCACTCATCCAGGCAAATGGGGAGTATTCCATCACACTCCTGACTTGTGCCTTATGATGGTGGACAGGCTTTGGGGAGTCAGGAGGTGAGTTACTTGCCGCAGTATTCCGAGCTTCTGGCCTGCTCTTGTAGCCACTGTGTTAATGTGGAGAGTCTAGTTGAGCTTCTGGTCAATGGTAACCTCCAGGATGTTGATAGTGGGGGTTTCAGTGATTTTTTTTTCTTTATTCATTCACAGGATGAGGGCGACGCTGGCTAGGCAGCATTTATTGCCCATCCCTAATTGCCCAGAGGGCAGTAAAAGTCAATCACATTGCTGTGGATCTGGAGTCACATGTAGCCAGACCAGGTAAGGATGGCAGTTTCCCTCCCTGAAGGACATTAGTGACCCAGATGGGTTTTTCCGACAATCAACAATGGATTCATGGCCATCATTAGATTTTTAATTCCAGATATTCACCATACAATGTAATGGGACAGTGGTTAGATTCTCTCTTATTGGAAATGGTCATAACTTGGTATATGTGTGGCGCGAATGTTACTTGCCACTTGTCAGCCCAAGCCTGGATATTGTTCAGCTCTTGCTGCATTTGAAAATGGACCGCTTCAGTATCTGAGGAGTTCTGAATGGTGCTGAACATTGCACAATCATCGACAAATCCTGACCTTACGATGGAGGGAAGGTCATTGATGAAGTAGCTGAAGATAGTCCTTGAGGAACTCCTGCAGAGATGTCCTGGAGCTGGGATGACTGACCTCCAACAACCACAACACATCTCCCTATGTGCTAGGTATGACTCCAACCAGCGGAAGTTTGCCTTCGATATCCACTGATTCCAATCTTGCCAGGGCACCTTGATGTCACACTTGGTCAAATGCAGCCTTGATGTCAAGAGCTGTCACTCTTCCTTCACCTCACTTGCTCTCTCACCACCATCATCTGCTCAGTTCCAGTCTGAAGAATCTTCTAGTTTTCAACACCCAATCGGGTTTTATACTCATCATTGAACCTGACTCATTTAAATTGAGCTTTGTTGCATTGGCTAAATGAATACTAAAGATTTGGATCGTGTACAAACTTTGGTCTGAAATTAAATTTATAACAATCACAATTTAAAGAGTCATTAAACATTTCACAAAATATTAACATTATATTAGTCTAGAAGGTTAATTTATGCAGGCATCAGATAAGAAAGCTATTAAAGAATCTGATAGTACTAAGGTTAATTTCTTTGATACAGTATGTTGACTCAGCCTCTAGAAAGTGAAAGAACACTGTGCTTTGATTGGGAAAGAGTAGCAGGATCCAGGGACAAGCCACCACGTTGCTATCAAATGCAGCTAGCATTTCAGTTTTCAGTCTTCACTCCCTGTGACCTTAGCCAGGGAGGATGAAAACTAACTCAACATGAATCACAATGTAACATTAAAGAGGGAAAAGAGGGTTTAAAAAGGATGGAGGAAGCACTGAGTAGGAAATCAGAAGGTTAACTGGGGTGAGAAGGACAGCTCTAAAGCATGGTATAGGTTCAGTGCAGGTAGACAGTGTTGTCGCTTGGTCACTCGGGCCGGGGTACGGCACGGACACTCGGGCCGGGGTACAGGAGGGTCACTAGGGCCGGGGTACGGGAAGGTCACTGGGGCCGGGGTACGGCACGGACACTCGGACTGGGGTACAGGAGGGTCACTCGGGCCGGGGTACCGGAGGGTCACTCCGTCTCTTGGACCAGGATAGAGTGCGGACAGTCCAGCTTGTGTGCAGTAGACGATGAAACCTTTATGGAAATATGGTGTCAGGGAGAATGCACTGACCTGCCCATTAAAAAACAACAACATTAGAACCAAATCTCCCCGAATACAACATGTTTGGGAAAGATAGGAAAGGAATAAAAAGTGCTGGGTGTAGTATTAATTAAGAACATTTTGGTGCTGGAGAGAGAATATCCTCGAAGGGCTAAGGACTGAGTCCGTTTTGATTGAGCTCAGAAACAATGAGGCACCTTGAGAGGATTGTATCTATTCTAGGCCACCAACCAATGGGAAAAATACAGAGGAACGAATTTGCAGAAATTTTACAGAGAGTTACAGACACAGTACAGTAAGCATAAAGAGGAAACTTTAAATATCCTTTTTTATTCTTAAATGAGACGGGAGCATCACTGGCAAGGCCAGTTATTTTTTGTTGTCCATCTCTAATGGTCTTTGAATTGATTGGCTTGAGGCCACTCAGAGGGGAGTTAAGATTAACCATATTGCTGTAGGTAGGAATCCTGTATAGGCCAGACAAGGAAGGACGGCAGATTTCTTTCCCTAAAGAACATTAGTGAACCAGATGGGGATTAGTGTTAAATAGGACAGGATCAGTGTAAGGAACATGGAGAGGGTGCAATTCCAAACTTCATTCAGCACAATTTTCTATCTGTATATTTCCATTTCCCTTTCCCTGCTTCAGTGTTTACTTATAACCTGTCACATCAATAACAGTTGATGACCTGAAACATTAACTCTGATTGTGTCTGACTGGATGATCCCAGATTCACTAAGTATTAAGGTTAGGGTTAGATTTAGGATTAGGGTCAAGGTTGGCATTAGGATTAGGATTGCGTTAAGGTTAGTTTTAAGATTAGGATTATTGTTCAGGTTAGGGTTTATTTGCAGAATTTTCTGTTTTTATTTCATGTAAACGCTGCCCTTCTGGGAACTGGATTTGAAGTCTCTTGGGTGATTTTTCAACCTGTTGGCCATTCCTCCCTGCTGTCTGAGCTAGGATTCACTGCTTTCATCCTACACATCCCTCAATCTCACTGGGCACTTTGAGGCTGCTTCACGGGATGGTGACATTATATCTGGCAAAAACAGGGACAATGAGTGGCAGGGAGTCTCCCAGGAGAGAAAAGGGTTGGTTTGGAGTTTGGGGGGTGGAGGGGAGGAGACAGTTTGGGGTTGTGTGTGGGTTTAAGAGGGTAGCCTGACTTTGGGACAAGGTGGGATCCAGAAGGAGCAGTGCGTTTGGGGGAGGAGTATGTGGTCTAGAGAGGGTGCTGTGTTTGGGTGGGGTTGGGGTCTTGAGGTGGAGCTGGGCTCAGGGACAGTGTGGGCTCAGAGGGACAGTTGGACTCGTGGTCAGGGGGATTTCAGAGACTTTGTCGAACACAGGTTTCAGGGGATGCAGGCATCAGCGAAGGATCCAGATTTTCCTAAAACCCACCTGAGCCATGGGTTCATGGGTTCTTCCTCCGACCTATGCCCTCCTCCCACCTCAAGCCGCACCCCCAACTCCTACCTACTAACCTCATCCCGCCCCCTTGACCTGTGCGTCCTCCCTGGACTGATCTATCTCCTCCCTACCTCCACACCTACACTCACCTCTACTAGCTCCATCCCCGCCTCTTTGACCTGTCTGTTTCCTCTCCACCTATCTTCTCCTCTATCCATCTTCTATCCACCTCCCCCTCTCTCCCTATTTATTTCAGAACCCCCTTCCCCTCCCCCATTTCTGATGATGGGTCTAGGCCTGAAACGTCAGCCTCTCTGCTCCTATGATGCTGCTTGGCCTGCTGTATTCGTCCAGCTCTACACCTTGTTATCTCATGTGTTGATGATACTGCAATTGATCTGAGATAATACAATGCAGTGTGAATCCTATTTCAAATGGACATAGATTCTGCCCATTTTACAGGTGTTTCATAACTGAATAGTGTGCGTCAGCTGAACTAAAATGAAGCCATTGATTTTTAGTTTAAAACAAGAGAGCAGCTTGGAAATTAGGCAGTTGTAGATTCACATAGTCTTTGAGAGTTTTGATTAGCATTTCCTTGTTTAAAGTTGCTTTTATATTTTGGTGTCATGATGGAGAGAGCTGAGTGTCCTAGAGAAAGGTGAGACTCTGTAACACCAATTTCAGATTCGGCATTCGACGGACTGAATAAAATAAGTTCTACATTGCAAATAAGGTCATTGCAGGGAATAGAGATAAAAATAATGAAATTATAGGCTATTTATCTGAATGCATAAAGCATCTGCAATACGACAGATGAACTAGTGGCACAATTAAACATCAATAAGTAAGATTTACATGGACATGGTCACAAGTGTAGAGACCAATACTCCAGAGTGCACAATATTTTGGAAAGACACAAGAGGACGGGTCATCCTGAGAATAAAGAACAACACCAAGGAATTTGGTGGAAAAGGAACAAGACTATGAGATAGAGTCAATAACAAGAGCTAGGAAACACTGGTGGCAGTATTTTATAGACCATCAAACAGTCATTCCACTGTTGGACATAATGTTAAATGAGAAACTGTTAGAGTCACGGCAGAATTGAGATTTAACACATGGAAACAGGTCCTCAGCTCAGCCTGTCTATGCACCTATCTACTCCAGTCCCATTTTTCAGCACTTAGCCCGTGCCCTTGTGCGCTATGGCATTTCAAGTGATCATCTAAATACTTAAACATTCTGTTGGTCCTGCCCCAATCATCCTTTTAGGCACTAACTTCCAGATCCCCACCACATTCTAGGTGAAAAATTTTACACCTTAAAGCCCCTCTGAATCTCTGGCTCCTTGCCTTGAAACTGTGCCCCCTGGATATTGATCCCTCTGCTAATGGGTAAGGTTTCTCTCTATCTAACATGTCTATACCTCTCAGAACTTGTTCACCTCAGTTAGAGCACCATCAGCCTTCCCTGCTGTGAGGAAAACAATCCCAGTCTATGTCATCTCAACTTCAGAGCTGAATTGCTCCAGGTCAGGCAATATCCTGGCGATTCTCCTCTGCACCCACTCAGTGCAATCACTTCCTTCCTATAGTGCAGTCTGGCCAGCTCGTCGATATATTCCTGTAGTCTAAGGCTTTCCTCCTTGCTATCTATCTGCCATATCATCAATTTTCATGTCATCTGTGAGCTTAGTGATCAACCCTTCTACATTCATGTGTAGATCATTAATGCACACAACAGATAGCACTGAAGCTTGTAGTATACCATTGGAGACAGGGTCACAAAAACATTCTTTCACCATCACTCTGTTTCCTGCCACTAAGCTAATTTTGAATCCAATTTGCCAAACCCGGACTGTAACTCTCTTACCCGGACCCTGACCCTCTCACCCGGACTGTACTTGGACTGTAACCCTCTCACTCAGGCTGCAACCCTCTCACCCGGACTATCATACTTCCACCCGGACTGTCATACGCTCACCCGGACTGTCATACTCCCACCCAGACTGTAACCCTCTCACACGGACTGTCATACGCCCACGCAGACTGTCGTACGCCCACATGGACTGTAACTCTCCCATCCGGACTGTAACGCTCTCACCCGGAATGAACCAGGACTGTAACCCTCCTACCTGGACTGTAATACTCCCACCTGGATTGTCGCACTCCCACCCGGACTGTCATACGCTCACCTGGACTGTCATACGCCCACCCGGACTGTAACCCTCCCACCCGGACTGTAACCCTCCCACCTGGACTGTAACCCTCCCACCCGGACTGTAACCTGCTAACCTGGAATGTCATACTCCCACCTAGACTGTAACCGTCTCACACGGACTGTCATACGCCCACACAGACTGTAACTCTCCCATCTGGACTGTAACGCTCTCACCCGGACTGAACCAGGACTGTAACCCTCCTACCTGGACTGTCATACTCCCACCCGGACTGTAACCCTCCCACCCGGACTGTCACTCTCCCACCCGGACTGTCACACTCTCAGCTGGAATGTAACCCTCCCAACCGGACTGTAATACTCCCACCCGGACTGTGACCCTCTCACCCGGACTGTGATTCTCTCACCCGGACTGTACCCGGACTGTGACCCTCTCACCCGGACCGTGACCCTCTCACTCGGACTGTGACCCTCTCACCTGGACTGTGACCCTCTCACCGGGACTGTGACCCTCTCACCCGGACTGTACCCGGACTGTGACCCTCTCACCCGGACTGTACCTGGATTGTGACCCTCTCACCTGGACTGTACC